TTATGAATACATGAAATGGATACATATAAGAAAAATAAAAAGAAACAATAGGACACGGACGGTAGGCACGTTGGTGCACTTATGCACGCCCCCTATAGACCTCTTAGGAAAGGGGTGAGGTCAATAGTAGACAGTCTAAGGTTAAAGTTTTGGGGGTTTGGGGAAGAAACCACAGAGTCAGGTAGAGTATTCCAGACATTGACCACTCTATTGCTGAAGTCGTATTTACTGCAATCAAGTTTGGTGCGGTTAACCTTGAGTTTGTATCTATTGTGTGTGCTCTTGTATTGTTATGATTGAAGCTGAAGTATTCATTGACAGGTAGGATATTGCAATATATAATTTTATGTATCATACTTAGATTGGACCGAAGGTGGCGTAGTTCTAGGTTGTCTAGGTCTAAAATTTCAAGTCTGGTGGCACAAGGTATTCTGCAATGAGTAGAGGAGTGGAGAACTGTTCTTGAGAAATATTTCTGGACTTTCTCAACTGTATTAATATCAGATATGTAATGCGGGTTCCAGACTGATGAGCTGTATTCAAGTATTGGTGTAGCAAATGTTTGTATGCTCTAGTTATTATTGTGATATTACCGGAGAAAAATCTACACAGGATTAGGTTAACAACTCTTAATGCCTTTTTGGCTATGTAGTTACCGTGGGCTCTAGCACTTAGATCATTAGAGATGTGTACTCCAAGGTCCTTGACAGAGTTTGGATCATCAATAAGGTCCTGACTAGTCAGCTTGTATTTTGTTTTATGATTTTTTTGCCAATATGTAAGACTGAGCATTTATTTGTTGAGATTTGAAGTTGCCATTTGTTTGACCATTCTGATACATAGTCGAGGTCATTTGAAGGGTAGCAGTATTGTCAGTGGTGTTGAATAGCTTTACATCATCAGCAAAAAGAACGCAGTTGCTCTTAATATGATCACAGAGGTCATTTATGTAGAGTATGAAGAGAGTTGGTCCTAGAACACTGCCTTGGGGGACACCACTGTTGACAGGTACAGAATTTGATAGGACTCTCCCAATTTTGACCATTTGTTGTCTGTTTGACAGGAATGCTTCTATCCAGTTATGCAGGTGTCCACAATTAAAGAAGCTCTAAAACTTGATGATTGGTTCCTTGCTCACTCAAATAACTGTACAGTTAGAGATGGATTGGCATGGGTGGGGGCCAAATTATATGTGCCAGCAATGCTGAGAAACCAAATATTACAGCAAGCTCATGACTCTAAAGCTGCTGGACATTTTGGATTCGTGAAAAACCTTACACTTGGTTAAAAGGCAATTTTGGAGGCCTACCTTGAAAAAGGACATTGAGACTTATGTGGCTAGCTGTCCTATCTGTGCCTCAGCCAAACGGCCTCCTGGTAAACCAGCAGGCTTACTACAAAATGTGGCTAGACCAACTGCTCCATGGAAGGACATTTCTATGGATTTTATAGTGGAATTACCTGAAAGTGGGGGGAATACAGTTATTTGGGAAGTAACTGATTTGTTTTCCAAACAGGTACATTTCATACCTTGTCTGAAGATCTCATCTGTGAAAACGTTGGCTAAACTGTTTCTTTTACATATCTACAGGTTACATGGGGTTCCTGAACGCATAATCTCAGACAGGGGTGTCCAGTTTACCTCAAACTTTTGGAAGGAGTTCCTGAAGTTATTGGGCTCCGCCCAGGGCTTAAGCTCTGCCCACCACCCACAAACCAATGGGGCTTGTGAGAGAACTAACTCGGTATTGGAACAATATCTTCGATGTTACATAAATTATCAGCAAGATAATTGGGCTGACCTATTGCCATTCACTGAGGTGGCATATAACAATTCGGTACATAGTAGTACTGGGTTTACTCCATTTAAAGTGGTTTTGGGACAAGACTCTGTACCTATACCCGAGCTTCCACAGGAGAAACCTAACATTCAGTCATTAGATGAATGGATAACACAGCTCCAGCTTACCTGGCCGGTTACCCATAAAGCATTAGATGATGCTCATCAAGCCCATAAAAAATTTGCAGATAAAAAGAGAAGTCCACAAAAACCATATCAAGTTGGTGACAAGGTCTTTTTATCCACCAGATATTTGCAGACTGCACAAAAGTCAAAAAAGCTTGGACCTAAGTATGTTGGACCTTTCTCAATTGAACGAATTGTGAACCCTGTGGCAGTCCAACTGAAATTACCTAAAACCCTCTGATGGATCCACCCTGTTTTCCATGTTAGTTTATTAAAATCTGAACATACCTCCTACTTGAGTCCAACTCAGGTTGATCCCCCTGTGCCATTGCTAATTGAAGGTGAACAACATTTTGAAGTTAAAGAAATTTTGGATTCTCGAAAACAAAGGGGTCAACTCCAATATTTGATTGTTTGGAAACATTTTCCTCCTTCCAGTCTGAATGGGTGAATGAGAAGGATGTTAGATCTCCTAAGCTTATCAAGGCATTTCGTACTAAATATCCTAATAAACCCTAAAAAATATTAATATGGTGTTACATGTATATTTTCTGTTACCTTCTATTTTTATCTTTTCTAGGACTAACGTCTCTTTTGCAGGAGGGCTGAATGTCAGCCTTCAAGATTTTCTCCCTTTGCTTTGCATCTTTCAGCTGTCATAAGTAACGGGGGGAGGAAGGGGAATATGGTTATGGGAAGTGAGCTGGAAGTGTTACAAACCAGAACTGTATAAGCTGGGGGGGGGTAGATTCTTTCTTAGGTTTCTATCCTATGCTATGCGCAGCTGCAACTCTTTATCAAAATATGTCAAGGTCAACGGACAGAGGCCTCATCACCACCTGGAGATGCCCACATGATGATATACAAAACTTTTAATTGGATGAGCCAATTGAACTATTGGGGGTGGGAGCGTTGCTATTACTTTGTATATGTGATTTACGTGCCCATTTTTTTAGATTCAGAATTCTTTTGTTGTTACCACTTGATTTCCAGTAAAAGATATCTTTTCTCTGATTAATGGAGTTTAAGTATTCCTTTCTTGGATTTTGAATGGAGCACCAGCTGACAGTAGGTTGTTTGTCTCTAAGTGGAGGATGATGGATTGGTTAATAATTGATTCCATGACTTTACAGGTGGCACAGCATAAAGAGATTGGTCTGTAATTTTCAACTAGGTTGGGGTCGCCCTTTTTGAAGATCAGGATGACCGTGGCTAGTGACCATAGGTTTGGTTAGGAGCTGGTCCTGAAAGATTTTTTCAAAGATTATGCTTAGAGGTTCTGCTATGGCAGTCGATAGCTTTTTTAAGAAGTAGGCACATATTCCGTCCGGTCCAATAGATAGAGATGGTTTTAGATTGCATAGTGCTTTTTCAACAATGTCTTCTGTAAAATCGATATGTATTAGATCACTGTAGTTGTCTGTGGTTCGACTAGGAAATACTGGTCATGATCCATTGCTATTTACAAATACTGAGCCAAAGAATGTGTTAAAGAGGTTGGCTTTAATAGTGTTGTCATTGCAGTCTTTACTATTAGGTCCTTTCAGGGTTGGGATGGACCTTGAGTCTTTTAGTTTGTTGTTTACAAAATTGTAGAAAGCGCAGGTGGAATTGGTGCGTAGAAGGTTTTCCTCTTGTTTAATGTGATTATTGGTGCATTTAATCTTTATCTGGTGGCATAGATTTTTGTAACGGCTTTTGAAGTTGGCAACGTGACCAGATTTGTTTTTCTGCCAAAGTGATTGATTTCTTTTTGGATTGAAGCTTCCTTATTGTTATGGGTAATTTGTTTTTTTTCTGGTTTTGGGAGTTGTTATTGTTAGATATAGTTTGATGACTCTTTTGACTTCAAGTAAAAATATGTTGTAGTGGTCTTGTATCCAGTGAATAGAATAGTGTATTGTATCCAGTGTATAGTGTATTGTATAGTGTATAGTGTATTGTATCCAGTGAATAGAAATTGCCAATCAAAGGATGAGAGATCATTGTCTATAAGATCATATTTGCCTTTAGTCTGAATAAAATCCAGCAGGACTTTTCTTTCTGTTTTCTTTTCTCCATCTTGGAAACAAGAACTGAAAAAAAACATGCCTCCATTATCAATTTTTCAACAAATCACAGGCAACTCTTTCATTCTAAATAAATAATTTGACATTTCAAGTATGTATAGAATCTTGGAGATATTTTATTAATGGCTGATGTGCCAAACACCAGAAAGGTGAACATTTAGACTCCCAAAGAGTTAAATTGATTCCTGCTTCCCTGGGGAAAAAGGGTGGGGATGTAAATGTCCATTATTATACTAAATAAAGTAAATAAATCAGTGAAAACCTGAGAAACAGCCCACATATGGGTGAATAAAATTTGGAATAATTTGAAAGTGTTTGAATTCTACTGCACATGGTGGCTATTTCAACAAGGCTTTAAATCCTATAAAGTAAGATGCCACTCGGGATTATGAATATTTTAAAAAGTACTCCATTTGTGGTCTTATTTAAAAGTTAATTTTTTTCTCAAAAGAATTTTTTTAATAAATAGGAAGAAGGAAGTACATGAGTGTGGAATAGAAAAGGAAAATGGAGAACTTTATGTTTATCCATATATAAAAAATGCAATGAAAGATATAATTATATAAAGGCATAATTATCTTTGTTTTAAATATTTTGGTTTGATATATTTTAATGAATCAATTGTTCGGGGATATATAGTTTTTATTTTTATTTACACCTATTATTGTTTTAGATTTATTCTCCTGGTAACAACTGTATTAACATAGTAACAGAGGAGCAAATGGTATGCTATGTGATTTATTTTGCTAGTTGTTAGTATATTATTGTATTTCTTTGCTTCACTCCGGTTTTGTTCTTTTAAATTTTGATGAAAATTAACTGAATAAATATTGACTGATATAAAGGAAATAGAAAGAGTAGTTGCCTTAAGAAAGTTTCAACCCTAATCCTCAAGGATCCATTAAGAATAAAATTCACCCATTCTTCAGTGCAACATCTTATGTTTTTTTTTCCTTATTTGCCAGAGACCTAAAGAACAATTTGATTAGCACCATTCAGCCTGGAGCTTTTCTGGGTCTTCAGGACCTGCAACGTTTGTAAGTAATAGTTTCAACTTCTCCGGAACATATTCCAGCTAATTTCCTGTTTTTGATTCTTTAGTCTGCAAGCTATCTTTAATATTTACACGTGAATTCCCATATTCCCCCTCCCCCATTGCTTAACTTCCAAGCCCAGAGCTATTTCAAAAAGCTTTAAGTAATCTGTAACCTGTCCATAACTCATAAAGCCTGGCTGTTTACTATAAGTGTCAGTTTCCTGATAATTTCAACAAAGATGCATGTGGTCACCATCTTCTAAGCTGGGTATTTATTTTTCCAAAAGTAATTGCAAAGTAGCTTGGAAAAGACAAATCTATCCTTTAATTCTCCACTGGTCCTCTGCCAGTTGCATTCATTCAAGTGCTCAATTTAAAAAAAAGGTTCTTGTGATTTCATGGATGTGTCCATGCTGTTGTTTTTGCAACAATACTAAAATGATTAGCCATTCTTCACAGGGGGGGGGTGTTGTTGTTACTTTTCACTCTGGTCTACAATCTCAACATTTCTAATAAATCCTCCAATAAATGCTGATTCTGCATAGTTTTTTCGAGGTTAACCAAGAACTAGATGTTGTCATTTAAAGGTGCTCAGCAGTTCAAAGCATGCAAATGTAAGTAAATAAATATATACCACTTCAGTGGAAAGGTAACGGCATTCTGTGCAGCTTGGTGTATAGTCATGCTGGCCACATGACCCCAGAAGCATCTTTGGACAACGTTGGCTTCCTCAGCTAAGAAATGGAGATGAGCACCACCCCATAGAGTCAGGCATAATTGGACAGGGGAAACCTTTACCTGTACAAGTATACATTCAAGGTGTACAAAGTATTTCGGCCAAATTCAGACTATTCTGTGTCAACATTGGGATGTCGCATGAAGAGAAACCTCATATACCCTTAATATCCATGGCTGTTCATGGTCTGTCTATGGCTCAAATTTTTTTCTCATTGTTCTGTAGGGATCTCTCCAACAACCGCATTGGCTGCCTCAACATTGGCCTCTTCCAGGGACTGTCCAGCCTTATCCGTCTGTAAGTATTCAGTGGCAATGGTAAAGGTATGGTTTCACTTTGAGCCTCTGTATATGTGCTGTTGACAGGAACCCTCATTTCTCAAATTCATCTTCCAAAATCTGGGTTCTCTCCAAGGTGTGAATGCCACTTTCCTGAATTCCCACTTGACAAGGTCAAGACGGACAGTTCTGATAGCTGAAGTCCACATAACTGAAAACTGTTCTGATTGGAGAATACTGTGTCAAAGAATGTTGCTGAGCACAGATGCCAAACATGATGGTTGTGCTTTTCTTTCATTATTCCTTTTCAACTTATTTTGACAGGGAATCCTGAAATTTGAAAGGGAAGGCTGAGGGATGAAATACTTCTGACTGGAATCTATAGATTTATGAACCCAACCACCAATAGCAGCAAACCCACTAGGATGACTAGGTCTTTCAATAATAAAAAAAACACATTGAATACTTTTGGCTAATTTTACTTATTGATGTTCTTTAGACAAATTCTTAAACTTAGCTATCTACAGCTATTAGTCATAGTGATGATACACCCTTAAAATAAAAGCAGTAGGTTGTTGGGAAGAACAGCAGAAAAGGAATTATTGTTCTCACATCTGTCCTGGGCTTCTGGAATTCCCTTAGCTTTCTGGTTGGCAATTGGAAGGTCCTGGATGAGATAGCTCTTTGGTCTGATCCAGCAAATCTCTTGTTTATTTGTACCGTGTTTCTCACAAAATAAGGCCAGGCCTTATTTATTTTTTTTTGACCCCCCCCCCCCCAAAATGGCTAAGACATCTTTTTGGGGGTGACTTAATTCCCCCCCCCTTGCATCCTCGGGCGGGCGGGTGGCGACAGCTTGGATGTTGACCTCGACATTGGTGGGGCACTTCGTATTGGGAGACCTTCTGCCACCGTTGCTTTCCCTTCTCCCCCATGCTGCTGCGGTGTTTAGAGCAACCCCGCAGCATTTGGCGCAGCCACCCACGGCCAGCCAGGGCTCCTCCCTACAACCGGAGCCCGGCAGAGACACTTGGCTTCAGGTGCTCCTGTCACTGCCTTCCCTTCGCCTTCGAAGACAAAGCCAATTCTTTTAAAAATGATGCCCTACTACCGGTATGACAAAGCCTCCCCTGCCCGAGAGGGCAGCCCAACCCACGTGGGGAGGCGAATCTCCTGGGGCCACAGCGCAGGATCGGCCCACCCCAGGAGAAGTGCCAAGCTGCCATCCCTGCCTGGCGCCAGGCAGAGCATGAAGAGCTTCGCCTGGGGTGCCCAGTGCAGCTGACAGGCGGGCCCTCCTGCCTGGCAGCGGAGCTCTCGCCAAGGCAGCGAGTGCTTCCCCACTGGGCCCTCCGGTCATCCCACCAGGGCCGCACCAGAACCGTGCAGGCTGGGCAGAGCCGGGAAAGCGAGCCGTGAGTGCGCACCCACCTGCCAAGCAAAAGAGCCGGGCCGACCCGAGCTTGGCTTCCTTCCCAAGTCCCTCCAGCCCAAACCCAAAGGTGCCACCGGGAGAGGCTGCCCGAGGCAGTGATAGCGCCCACCCATCCATGGACAGGGGGGCAAGGCGACGGCCTGCGCCACGTCCTCCGAGCTGAGCCCCGCTGAGTGAGCGCCTCTGCCTGATGCCCATGCCGCTGCAGCGTTTGGAGCTGCTGGTGCATTTGGAGATGCGTGGGGACGGGAACAGGCTGGGCGGTGGAAAGGGGTGGAAAGGATGGGCGGCTTTGGGCTCTCTCTGCCGGACCCGCCGGCCAGGGAAGCAGCGCTGCCGTCGCCTTGCCTCCCTGTCCACGGATGGGTGGGTGCTATCACTGCCTCGGGCAGCCTCTCCCGATGGCCCCTTTGGGTTCAGGCCGGAGAGACTTGGGAAGGAAGCCAAGCTCAGGTCGGCCTGGCTCTTTCACTTGGCAAGCGGGCACGCACCCACGCCTCGCTTTCCCGGCTCTGCCTAGCCCGCACGGCTCTGGCGCGGCCCTGGCAGGATGAGCGGAGGGCCCGGCGCGGAGGCACTCGCTGCCTTGGTGAGAGCTCTGCTGCCAGGCAGGAGGGCCTGCCTGTCAGCTGCGCTGGGCGCCCCAGGTGAAGCTCTTCACGCTCTGCCCAGCGCCAGGCAGGGATGGCGGCTGGGCGCTTCTCCCGGGGTGGGCCGATCCTGCACTGCGGCCCCGGGAGATTCACCTCCCCACATGGGGTTGGGCTGCCCTCTCGGGCAGGGGAGGCTTTGTCATACCGGTAGTAGGGCGTCGTTTTTAAAAGAATTTGGCTTTGCCTTCGAAGGCGAAGGGAAGGCGGCGACAGGAGTGCCTGAAACCAAGTGTCTCCGCCGGGCTCTGGTTGCAGGGAGGAGCCCTGGCTGGCCGCAGGTGGCTGTGCCAAATTCCGTGGCATTGCTCTAAACGCCACAGCAGCACTGGGAGAAGGGAAAGCAACGGTGGTGGAATGTCTCCCAATACAAAGTGCCCCACCAACGCCGAAGTCAATGCAGGCAGCACCATATCTGGGTATGCAACAAAAGTAATTCCTAAGGGCAACCCCCCTGCAACATTCCCCCCACCCCCATTTCACATGTTTAATATAGGCCTTAATTTGGGGGGAGGGGCTTAATCTGATTTTATGCCTACAAAACATGCTGGGACTTCCTATTGGGGGAGGCCGTATTGTTGGAGAAACATGGTAGTAATTTTAGCATTTATACCCTGATACTTTCTGTGAAAAGTTCCTGGAAGAACCTACAGAAGAGTACAAGGCAGAAGTCCTGTCTTTAGGCTTACTAATTAAGAAAGAAATGGTATAGAAGAGACAAGGGATAGGAAGGGAATAAGAAAACCAGAAAGCTCAGGCATTATTTGCAGTAATTCTGATTTGTATTATATCCAGCTGTCATGGAAATGTGCAACCTAGGGACGCTCAGATAGAAACTCTCATCCCTCAAGCAGATGCTCTTGGAATGATGTTGATCTTCTTTGCAAGCTCCTGATAGAGTCTGTAGGAGAGGACTTCAGTCAGAAACAGAAATAGCAATCAGACATGGTTATGCTTATGGTCTCCTGCCATGGCTTATGTTCTTATCCCCCCACCCCCAAATAAATTAAATCTCCTATTGCATTTCTTGTTCACAGTAAATTTATGGAAACAATAGCCAAAATAAGAAGTGAGGGAAACCGACTTTAATTATTATAAAACTATATCATCATTTGCTGTGAGGGCTCTATGGACCCCTGATGTTCAGAGAAAGAGTGTTTCTCTCTAATTACCAAATGCAAAGAGAATACGATTCCTACCATCTGAAGACTTCCCTGAAGCAGCTTTCTTGCCATGATGAATCTCATCTTAGATAGGCCTCTTGGTCTAATCGCATAAGTTTTATCTCATTTTGTTATCCTCTCTTTGACAGGAACATATCAGGAAATATCTTTGCCACCCTCCAGAGTGGAGTCTTTGATGAGTTGCTGTCTCTGAAAGTTCTGTAAGTATTTTGTGTTTTGTTGGGAAAAGGGAAAGGCAAGAGGAAGCCATTAATTTTTTTAAATGATTAATGTTGGGGTTGGTGGGACATTCTGGGTCTTTTTGCATGGAAAGCCATGCTCAGTCACATTGTCCTCCCCTTTGAAGCCCTCTCGAGAGAATAGAGTAAGCCATCACCCAGCTGTGGACAAGGTTCCTCCATGTTCACTGTGCTATCTCAAGATGCTGGAGCCTTTTAGAGATTTTGTTGTTGTTGTTGTCGAGGGGGACAGGCATCTCTTTCCTGTGTAAATCTTTCTCACTGGCACTGCCTCTTCAATTTACATTTCTCTTGTTCTCCAGTGACTTTGCCACTGAATACCTGACCTGTGACTGCCATTTGCGCTGGGTCCTAGCCTGGTCCAAAAGCCATTCTGTCCAGGTATCTGATAAGACGGTGTGTGTCTACCCCAGCAAATTGCATGGGAAGCTACTACGAAACATCAGAGAGAGCCAACTGCGCTGTGGTGAGGCACCCTCCTGAGTGAGTGAGTTTGCTTGGTGTGCAAAGGAGATTTGTTCAGTAGTCAGGTGCTCCTTTCTCCTTCTGGAATACATCCCTACTTCTATTTCATCCTTCATTCAACAGACAGCAATAGCACTTATATACCATCCCCATAGTACTTTATAGCACCCTCTAAGTGGGTTTACAGAGTCAGTACATTGCCCCCAACAATCTTGAGCTGGTCAGGATCAAAGGAATTGAACTCCTGGCAATGTGAGCAGAGTTAGCCTACAATACCTTTTTCTCACCACTGTGCCACCATGCAGTGGTTGGAATTCTATTACTGCTTAGCATGGATTATCACCATGAAGGGATAGTGGTGGTGGTCAGCTGCAAACCTCTGCAATTGATAATCCTTTTAGGGTTCCAGGTTTGATTTCTGAAATATCATAGCTCAACAATTCCAAGAGGACTTCAGAGTGGCTTACCAAAAACCTCACCCCCAGCTCCCATGTCAAGCAAAGCAACATGATTCCTCTGGGATGCTTGCAGGGGAAATTTTCTGAGGTCATCTGAGGTCATACTGATGGAATCCTCAATATGGCTCTTCTTTCCCATAGCATAGCCTGAGTAACTGGATCTCCTTCACCATCGATGTTGGAAATAAGTTTTTCCTTGCTGGCAGCTCTTAGAAGCAGCAGAATCTTATTCAAATGAACAGGGCTGTAAAGTACAATCCTCAGATGTCTTGCAAAAAGTTTGGCAGACGTGAAATAATGCTAGTATAGCAGCAAAGCAGAGAGGCAGCTTTGGAAACTTGTGGTCCTTGGCCAGTCTGTACACATTCTGTTATTCAGCATACAGTTTCATGTTGACTTCAGTGGTTAAGACTCTGGGCTTGCCATCTGAAAGCCGGTAGCCCATTTTGAACCCTGAATGCCAAACGACAGGGTAAGCTCCTGCCTTGCCCCAGCTCCTACCAATCTAGCAGTTTGAAAGTCTGCAAATGCAAGTAGATAAATAGGTACCACTTTGGTGGGAAGGTAATCCATGGTGTCATGCTGACCAAATGACCACAGAAATATCTTCAGACAGCTCTGGCTCAGTGGCCTTGAAACGAAGATGAGCACTGCCATAGTTGGCAATGACTAGTGGAGTAAAATCTACAGGGACTCCTTTACCTTTTTTAAACTTTTACATTCAGAATTTAGCAAGCTTTCTTTTTTATTTTAAGTGTAGTACCTATATGAACATTTAATTAATGGAATAATAAAGGCAGGATTTTAAAAAACTAAGAAAAAAATCCAAATAGACATATAGATAAGCATTCTGGGCATGTCCTTCTGGATGTACTTATTTCTTTTCTTTGAAGGGTTGAGGATAACAGGCTTTGAATGCTGACCAAGTGGGCCTTTGGTTAGGCCCACTTTCTGTGAGAGGGTCCAGAACCTGACTTATTTGGGCTTTCTTCTCTCCCTTTCCCTAAAGCCTCTCTCTCTCTCTCTTTTACCCAAAGAAGGATCCCCAGAGCTGCACACCCATCAGCTAATCCCCTCTCTGAGGCAAGTTGTCTTCCAAGGAGACCGACTCCCTTTCCAATGTACAGCCACCTATCTGGACAACAGCACACACATCCTCTGGTTCCACAACCGTGCACTTGTGCAAGAAGATGAACCTAGCGGCATCATCTTAGAGGACAGCCTCGTTCATGATTGCACTTTAATCACAAGGTACTAAGGGGTGAACTGAGTCGGTCAAAGAGGGAAATGTGATTTCCTAGTTATTTCCAGTCTTTGGTCTAGCATAACATGGTCATTGAGCAGGTTGATTTCCATCAACATGGTCATTGAGTAAACTGATATTGACTAATACCAATAGGAATTAAGGTTTAGAAACAATGTCCTATTGATTAAGCAATAACTTCAGAATACAGGAATGGACATACAGCCATTTGGCTCATTTTTGTAGTTGGGTTTGACCTGATTCCATGCAGAATGTCCTAGAAGGAAGACTTGTGGCTGCTACCTTAGGCATTTTCAGATATTTGAATACATTGTTCTTTTACATATATCTTTTTGTATCCTACTTACCCAGAAGGCAGTAAATAAAGTTATTAACTGGAGAATAATTTAGTAGCTTTCTGTCCTTTGCTTCACTCTGGAATTCTCTCTGGTCACTCCCAACCACCCAGTAAATACCATATACCCTCCCCATTTTTAAAGACATCCATGGGGAAAAGGAAATACCTGTAGGTTGGGTGACCTGTATGACATTATAATAATGTTACTTGAATACTGCTAATAAATCTGTTCTGTATTGAACTCTGAAAACTTTTTTATTAGGATGTTTTATTAGCTGTTTGGATCAAGAATATAAAAATGTTTTGGCAAAGATGGATGCATGCTCATCACAGGTCCCTTTACCTCCTTAAAATAACCATGCTTTCTCCTGCACAGCCATGGTAGTTATGCAGTCCCAGGAAAGTAGGCATTTTAATTAGCCATGCAGTATGCTATGTTGGTGCTTTCTAAATGAAATGTGTATATTACTGCCTTTTCCTAGGCTTACATGGCTCCATGTAACCTAGGAAAAGGCAGTTCTTCAGGAGGCACTGAAAGATGCAGTGGGCATGACCACAGCTCTTCCAAAGTTCCCGCTTCAGTTCCCAGCAACTATATATTGCTAATTCTATGTGTAAAGAATGTGATGTAAGGAGAGGAAATATGGGTTGGGCTAGTCCATAGTTCAAAAGCTCAATTGATTATCAGCCCATGTTCTCTTCTAAAAAGCATTCTCTGTTTGCAGTGAGCTCATCTTGTCAAACATCCATGTCTCAGCTAATGGTGAATGGGAATGCACCATCTCCACTGCCCAGGGCAATGTTAGCAAAAAGGTGGAGATTGTTGTGCTGGAGACCTCAGCCTCGTACTGTCCACCTGAGAGGGTTACCAACAACCGTGGAGACTTCAGGTAGGGGCCAAAGTGTGGCAGGAACTGTTATCAGGAGCAGAACTGACCATCTACCATAGGTTCCCCAGACGGTGGTTGGATTGGTGTTCCAGAATTCTACTCATTGGGCATGGGCTAATATGGGAAGAAATTGTCTTAAAAGGGAATGGTTTAGTTCCGCCCTGATCCCTTTATGTCTTTGGTTGCTGGAGAATCAATTTTTGAAGAAAAATAGGCTGGACATTTGCAATAAATGATAACTTACATAACAGATAAATGAGGGAAAGATTCAAGGTTTGAGAAACAAAAGTGCGAGCTGTGGCCAAGAAATAAAAAATTGAAGCTGAATATTTGGGGAACAGCCAGTAGACTTGAGTCTGGCAAACCCAAATTTTCCTAATTAGTTGCAGCCATGGAAAAATGATCAATGAGGACAAGATGGAACGAAGAGCAATACAAACATGATGAGTTTTGGCTCATAGGTTTGTAGTGTGAATTACACACATGGAGAACTTTGCTGAAAACAAGGATGGCCATACACTCCACCCCTCCCCCCACTCAGTCACGTACAAGGAATTTTGTCTGGGACTGTGCAAATATTTGAAAGGGGCAATAGGTTCAAATAGGCACTTCTTCAAAGCTTGGTCATAAAGTGTTTTCAATTGGCAAAGTAGCTTGTCGAGGTCAAACAGCATCGCTGCATGAGTTGAAGCACGTCAAGAAAGCAGAGCAACCTCAATTTATACAAGCCTACCTATGTGCCTGTCTTCCAGCAAAAAATGCTTGCATAAACTCAGTGGGTTCCCTTCTCTTTTTGCCCATCCCTGCCCTCCTGTGCCTTGGCAATAGAATTGCAGGGAAAGACCAGAATCTGAAGGAGCACCCCTTCACTAGCATCTTCCTCGAAGAGCCAAAGTTGGCTTTCCCCAGGAAGCCAACCCCAAAAGGAACAGAGCATTCTTGTAATTGTAGAAACACCCCGACATCCTTTAATTGAGAAGACGGGAAGGTGAAGCTGCTTCCCTTGAGCCCCTGCTGTCTTTTCAGCCCTGCTGGACAAGGGTTGGGTTGGAGGAGCAGCTGCAGATGAACTGTCTGAATCCTACTGCAAAGCTCCCCCGCCCCTCCCGGGGAAGGCAAAGCCAGTGAGGGATTTGGGATCGCTGGCAATTGAGGCCTGGGAATGATTAAGCATCTGTTGCAAGGGAGGCCATCTGAGAGGCCCGCTCTGGCAGTGCAGACAGGCTCCAGAAACAGGAGGTGTTGGAATTTTTCTGGCACGAGAAAAAAGGATCATGGAGTCGACTGTAACCTTGGCGGGGTCTTGATGGAATATAAATTACTGTGCAGTCAATGTGGCTTAAATTAACAGCGGGCCTGTCTTCTAACTCCCTCCCCTTCCTTCCATCCGTAGCCTGCATGAGCAGGATAGGGCCTGGGATTAGACGTAGGAAAAGCAGCCGCAGCAGAAGACCAGCGGAGGGTTGGAAGATCTTCCCCATCTGTGGCCCAGTCGGGTATCCCAATGGGGACCAAAGGCCTGGCCTGTTGCGCATAAGAGCTGTTTTGCAAGATTCCTCTTTTTCAGGAAATCCCTGACGGGAACTTGATTGAATGCCAGATGAATAAAGAGATGATTAGGAATTATCTTCTGGATTTTATTTTATTGCATTTTATTTTACTACAGAAAGGGAGGTGAGGATTCAATATGCTGGTGGAGGAATGGCATATTCCCTTCCCTTCCCTTTCCCTTTTTGCAATTCCAGAGGGTTTTTTTTTCCTGGGGGTGGGGGGTGGGGGGAGAATCAAGGCCCCTAGAGCTCAGCAAACCTTTTAATTTGAACCACAGCATGCCAAAAAGTCCCATTGAGAAGGTCCCATCTGCTCTTGTTAGCCCTGGTGTGCTACTGCCATGCAACTCATGGCTTTGGGAGAGCCTATTTGTAAAACTAAAATCACAGCTCCCTGTTCTAAGCTTCCAGATGAAAATGTTTTCTCCCCAACTCTAAATCTCCTTCTTGCCCCATTGGAAAATGGGAGAGATGCTCCTTAAGGGTCTTGGTGCTCCTTATAAACATATTATGGGGGAAATACCCCCCTCCCCTGTGCTACATCAATCCCTCCCCCCACATACACACATTGTTGGTTTTCAAACAGCTATGGAATTACGTGTCTGATTTGTGCTAGTTTGTCCTTCAATTATATCATGACTGCTGACTGGTGTATTCAAATGCTCTTTTTTGGAGTGGGAGGGCCGGAGGAAATATTATTTTTGGAAGATAGATGGAGAGAACTAGCAATCTGCTTTTCACTTGATTTGCACATTAGTGCTAAAGCAACTTGTATTCCCCAACCCTTGGAGGGGGGGCGCAATGTCTGCAAAGACTTGAAGAAATATTATGATTTAAATTTTAAGTCTTGGGGGTCCGTGGCCATAAAAGATATTTAAAGGCAGTCCATGGTGAAGAAAAGGTTGAGAATCATTGTACTAAGATTTTCCTTTCCCTACCAAATGTAAAACTTGCTTGAGTATGAACAGGGACAAGAAAAGAAACTTGCTTTGACAGTTGGCATCCAAGGTGTGGGAGTATCTCTGATCTCCATTTGCTTTTGCTCAATTCATCCAGCTGTTGCTGCTGGCATGGGAGGGAAGTAGCCTCAAAATTCTGTGATCCAGATGTTGAAGCTGCTGAGCCAAGGAGAGCATTCCAGGAGGCAAATAATATAACTGGCATTTGGCATTTTCCTATGTTCTTAGACTTGAGCTGAAGCAATGGAGTCTTTTTTCCCACATGGTGGAAGATCTGCAATCTTGAACCCTCCCACATCTATCCCCTACTTTCTGGCCCTCTTATGCCACCCACCATAATTCTTTCATTTTCCCTCAGTTGATTCCATAAGCCATTCTTCTGGGATCTATCTAATGTCAGCATTTGATTAGATAGACGTAAGCATGCTTTCATAGATCTTCTCCTATTTGGTTCTAGGTGGCCACGGACCTTGGCTGGCATCACTGCTTATCAATCCTGTCTCCAGTATCCCTTTACTTCTGGGAATGCAGGCTCTGGCCATGAAAAGCAGGCATGGAGACACTGTGACCGCACAGGCCACTGGGAAGAAGGGGACTATTCACACTGCTTGTACACCAATGACATCACCCGTGTACTCTACACCTTTGTGCTGGTGAGTAGGACAATAAGACCATGGTCCTCTGGTTGTCCTTGAGTATTTTGCAGCCGCTGGGCAGACCGATTCAGGTATTGCAGCAAAAAATGATCAGCAGCGATGTCCAAGAATTGCTGTTTATTCCAAGAAAGAGATTGTTTTCTGGGGTGGCTCAAGTGATACAAAACAAAATGACAGTGAATGTTTTGAAGCAAATGGAGAGCCCTTTTCACTTCTTGCCATGTATAATGAGAATTTACCCTTAACATACCTGGGGTTTAGAGATCCATGTGGTCCATTTCAGCACTGCATTCACCCACTTACTCCTTCCCATGATTTTTTATACATGTTTAGCAGTACTATGTACCTCTCTACATATTTTCCATATACCTTATTAAGGCTGTACCTTTACTAGTCATTTGTTGTACAGCCTTCCCTAATATACTGCATTTTATGCAATTAGCCCTTGACTTTGTTTTTTATAAGCAGCATTTCATAAAGCATGCTTTTTTGTAAAATCCAGCTATCCACATTATTTTTGGTATATCTCTTTCTCAATTATCCACTATGCAGTCCTTTTTAACTAAGAATGATTGCAACAGATTCCATGTCTTCCATTTGTCCACCGATCTATAATAGTGTGGTCCATATAACATCACAGGATGCATGAGGCCCTTTCTTTCAGACCTCTGAGTTATAGCTGATCACAGTTGACTGGCCTGGCCTGCTCATTATTGGTACTTCACTTTGACTACATCTTTTGAACACTTATAAGATGGCATCTGCATTGGCAGGTCTCTGTACTTCTCTCAAAAGTACTGGCTATTTTCTTTTATATTCCATCACATTGAGATTGGAGAACTATCAGGAAACCCAACATTACAGCTAAGCAGGCTTTAAGCCAGCTATCTCCCCATTTTGTAAATTAAGCATTGTCGGATATTGGAGATGAGGAAAAGAGGCTTAGACTGTTTTGACATTTATCCCCATTTATCTGCTGACAGATGCCCATCAATGCCTCAAATGCACTAACCTTAGCCCATCAATTGCGGGTCTACACAGCTGAAGCTGCCAATTTCTCAGATATGATGGATGTCATCTATGTGTCTCAGATGATTGAAAAGTTCACTGGTTACGTAGACCAGATTAAACAGGTAAGTGGACCTGATTCCCATGTGTTCATTTCCCCACATTCATGATGGTGAGGAAAGAGGGGTCTACATTTCATTTGTTGCTAAATATGCTCAACATATAGAAAATCTACAGTAGAGATGGGCAGTTTATGGTCACCATTTGATCTTAGACTCAAACTTTCTAACAAGATGGCCTAACAAGTACATCTTTGATATGGAGCGAAATGTTCAATGATTTGTTATATCCCAAATTGTTTGCTTTCACCCAGTTGACTGACGTCATTGTGGAGATGGCAAGTAACATGATGCTGGTAGATGACCATGTTCTATGGATGGCCCAGATTGAAGACAAAGCTTGTACCAGCATAGTGCATTCCTTGGAGAAGATTGCAACTTATGCTGTCAGCACCAACTCTCAGCATATGGCTGTGGTAGGGATCCAAGCTCTTCTAGTGGGTGAGCTGGGAGGGATGGCAGAGTAAAAGGCTAAGCTTGAAGATTAGGTGTGGTGTACTGCCAAAATGCAAATTATAAATACATGGTTTGGAGTGTGGGTGAGTGGTCAAGGAACTAGGAATCCATAATGGAAAAAAAAACAATTACTGGTGAAATAGGAGAATTTTTATAGTGTGGGAAGGATTTTGAGTTGGCTGAGACTGAGATATACAAGGGCCCGATTGTATTCTTGGACAACTCAAACATCCTAACGTGTCCTACTTGTTGATGATTGTTTTATCTCCCTCTCAGTTCCTTGTCCAGTTCCTCAGTGTCCCTATTGCTTTAAACTTTCCGTAGTACCTCAGAGGAGCACAACCACAATGTAAAAGTTATTAGGAGATCTTAAAGAGGGAGAGGACTTTATGTGGCTACTTCTACCTGAAAAGCCCATATCCAGGGCAGCAACTATTGGGGAAACGTCCCACAAAATTGCCATGGGAAAGGCCATTTGTCCATAAACTTGGATAGCAGTAAGTTTTAAAGAGCTAGACTTAATATTAGGACCATTAGCCATTAGTTTTTTACTAATGTTTTAGGACCATTAGCCATTAGTTTTTTACTAATGGCTGATGATCCAATATATGATAGCCTGGATCTAGAAAGGTTGCCTGGTTTCACAAAGCTCCTGGTTTTGTTTATGCAGAACTCCAGGAACATCGCCTTTGAAGCCTACCTTATCATGCCAGAAAGTTATCTGGGCATGAGCTGCATGGCTTTTCAGAAGCATGAGAACCTTCGTCACCGTTCTCCACGTCAAGAACGGTATTCTGAATCCTTGGCAGACCAGCAGCTGAAGTTCCGTTGTGCTACAGGCCGGCCTAACATCTCCTTGGCCACTATCCACATCAAGGTGAAATGGGATAGGGAAGAAAGATTTCTGGTGGATGAGTGTAATAGTATAAGAAGAAGGTACTCCTTATCTCTGGCATAGCAATTGGTGATGTGGAGTTTAAATTGAGGAAATAGCAGGAGAACCTAACTTCATTTCTATATCACTTTTCCATGTAGGCAAGCATCCTATATTGCTAGGTTTCTCATATCAGAACATAAGGCATAAGAACCAGAGCAGCCTGGAAAACATTATTGACATATCTGAAAAACATAATCATGGTGATGGAGGAGGAAGAAGAGATGGTCTTTATTGGTTAAATGTGATTGGATACACAAGGTGACAAATTCCTTGTGTGTCCAATTATATTTGGCCAATAAAGAATATTCTTCTTCTATTAACCAATGATTGAGCTATGTTGATGGATTGAGATGTCATTAATGTTGCAAGGACAGCTATCAAAAGTTGTATTTCTTAATCAAGCAAGAAGAATGGCATTGTCCCATTTCTGAATCATTCCTTGCCTATGCAAGAAGAGAGAGTCAACTGCTATTTTGCAAAGTACCAGAAGGGAAGACAAGAAGTAACTGTTGGAAAGTAACCAAGGAGAGAAGCAACCTAGAACTAACAAGAAATTTCCTGACAGTGAGAACAAAAAACTGGTGGAATGGCTTTGCGTCCAGAAGTTGTGGGTGCTCCATCACTGGAGGATTTTAAGAAAAGATTGGATAGCCCTTTAAGCAGAACGGTATAAGGTCTCCTGTTTGTGCAGGGGGTTGGACTAGAAGACCTCCAAGTTCCCTTTCAACTCTGTTATTCATTTTGCCTGGGTGTGTTAGTATACTCTTTGCCTTTTTGGGATGGAGCTGGGAGAGGAGTTAACTATGGTAAGGGTCGCAAGGGTTTGGCTTGGCCAGCCCCATCTTTAGCTTTCTTTGTCCCTCTTCTCATTAGAACAGCATTGCTCTGGCCTCCATTCAGCTGCCTCTGGGCCTCTTCTCCCCACCAGTTCCCCACCAGCCCATGCCCATCAAGTGTAAGCTTCAATTCCTGGTGTTCCGTAATGGAAAACTCTTCTGCAGCACTGGAAACTCTTCACACCTCGCTGATGATGGCAAGCGACGCAGCGTGGCCACCCCAGTGATCTATGCAGGCACACGTAAGAGTTGCTGTGGCAGAGAAGGACATTAGCCCACTGCAGGAAGGAACTGTGTGGCTGGCAGCTTCGTTGGGAGATTTAGGACCATGGCATGGAGATGCTTATAAGACAGCTGCTGTGGGAGGGATTGCCTGGGAATAAAGTAGCTGGCAGAGTTAGTGGAGCTACCAAAAGGTGAATGTCTATGGAGACTCTCAATCATCTATGCCATGGTTGTCCCAAAGGTGCTTTTCCAAAAGGCAGTAATGATAAGTGCTATATGCTTAGAGCTCACACACCCACTTCACAGTCTGTTTCTGTTGTTCGCCCCTGGGAGGAGGTTTCGAAGTATCTATCGTAGGACTACTAGATTCTGTAACAGCTTTGTTCCCTATGCCATCTGTCTGGTAAATTTGCAGGATTTTTTTTTTTTTGCCGTGTATATGTATACATTCAAACTAGACTGTGATGTTTTTGTGTCATATATGTGTGTGTGGGGGGGGTATATGCATAATTCTTATCCATGGGCACATCATAATTGTTTTAATGTATGCTGATTAGGGTACATTTAAAGTGACAATAAAGTTTCTATTCTATTCTATTCCATTCCCTTCTATTCTCTTGGTTTTTTTCTTTGACAACATTTCATTCTTCAGAACTGAAGAAGCTTCTTGGATGAGAAGCAAAACATTTTCAAGGAAAGAAACAAGAAAATCCAGTTGTCTTTTGGAAAAGCACCCTTGGGACCACCAAAAGTGGGTAGCAAGATGGAGATATTCTCACCTGCTGTCTAGACACACTTCCTAATGAAGAACCCATAAGCATCATCATTTTTTATTTTTCTAAAATACCCTAAGGCTTGTGTGTGACATCCTTGGAAATAAAGTGGATGCTAAAGGCTGGTGCTTGATGTTGTTGTTGTTTTTAATCAGAAGACTCAAGCTTTATTTGCTTTCCCTTGCCGAACAGTATCTCTGTGGAATTTATTTAAGCAACTCTTAGGGTGTGAGGAAAGGGCCTTGATCCTGAAAAAAAGGCAGAAGATTTCCTACCCTAGTTAGGCAAACCCTATCTGAGCAAACAAGCACCTCCTGAAGTTAATTTGAGTTCTGAGCACTTCCATTAACTACTTTTATAAACCCCTCCCTCAGATGGCTGTGGCGTAAGAAATCTCACTGAGCCAGTCGTCATATCGTTGCGGCATTTCCACGAGGGCATAGATCGCACAGCTGCTTTCTGGGACTTTGACATTCTGGGTGGTTATGGCGGCTGGAGAGCAGAAGGTTGCCAGCTGATTCTGCAGGAACCCAACTTCACCACTGTGAGCTGCCGACATCTCAGCAACACTGCTGTGCTGATGGTAGGCAAGAGACGGTGTATGGTACTTTGATCTATTACATTTCTATTGAGCCCCTGGTTATGTCACATAAATTTCTGCCAAATTCTCTTTCAACAAAGCAAGAAACAACCACGTTCCCTTCTGTATGCATTTCTTAAAAATCTTGCATGCATTTTTCAGCATACATGCCTAATGGTATGCAGCTTCCTTTGCTCCGAACCTATGATAGATAACCTCCAGATATTCTAGTCCAGAGCTCCCAGTTTTTTTGCTACTTGTTGAAGTGGATAGAACTAAAAGGAAATGTAGTCCAAATTATTTGGAATATGCCAAGTCATCTATTCGTGTTTAACCTTCCTATTCCACAGATACTTATAAAGACTTAGCATATATTACTGTTAAAATGTAGTTATAGTAATATTTACTAGAGTTATATTTTGCTTGTCCTTCAGTATTTCAAGGGTAGTGCAGTGATTCAATGTTTAAGATGCTGGGCTTGTTGACTGGAATGCCAGCAGCCCAGGTTTGAGACCTGGGCTCCACATGACAGAGTGAGCTCCCGTCCTTGTCTAGGGGTCCTGCCAACATAGCAGTTTGAAAGCACACAAATGCAAGTAGATAAATAGGTACCACTTTGATGGGAAGGTAAAAGGACTTCATGACATCACGCTGGCCATATGACCGGAAAAATGTCTTCTGACAGCACTGGCTCAATGGCCTTGAAATGGAGATGAGCACCATCCACTATAGTCAGCAACAAGTTTTTTCAGTATCTCAAATTGGTTAATACACAATTCTCACCTCCCAGTTTCCCTCTAATAACCACCACATGAGGTAGACTCAACTGAGACAGAATGAATGGCTACAGTGCATTGGCCACCTGGCTTCTTTCAACTGCACGTGGAATGATTTTTATAGAAGCTGCCTTAATATCAGTCCTCCCATATTGTACACTAATGAAATGTATTCTCAATTACAGGAACTGAGCAACTTCCTGCATGACTCACCGAGTCCCGCTGAGGTGCTACATCCTGTAATTTACAGTTGCACGGGTCTCCTCCTCCTGTGCCTGTTTACCACCATCATCATCTACATCATCAATCACAGGTGAATCACTTTTAGAGTTGAAATTGTAGCTTCCTTAAATTCTCCTCCCCACTGCTGAGCAGGTAGCTACAATACCATGCTACCAGAAGAAGCCCAGGTTTTTCTCAGTAATAACGTTTTATTCTTTGAATAATAGCAGCATCACCCCACCAGGAGAAAGCAAACTCAGAGCTTTCTCACCACCTGCTTATCTTTTAAACGAAGATGACTTTACTTGAATATAGGGCCCTTTCCTGCAAAGCTTTATTGTTTGATCTCTTAACTTTGTTATCCCCGTTTTCTTTTTCAGCACCATTCATATTGCACAGAAGTGCTGGCATATGCTGCTAAATCTTTGTTTTCACATCGCCATGACATCTGCTGTATTTGCAGGTGGCATCACTCTCACCAACTATATAGCCATCTGCCAAGCTGTGAGTATGAGGGCAGGATCTGATTAATTTGGACTTGTAGGTTTTGTCAGATGACACATCACTGAGAGGTTTTCTTCATGCACAAGGAACACTGAGAAGTTGCAAACTATTCCCTTTGCAATGTGGAACTAGTCCAGCCCTTTCTGCCTTTTTCCAAATCTATCAACTTCTATATGGGATAGACAGAAATTCCCATCACATCAAAATCACATCACATTATACTCTGGTTTCTCATCAGATCGTATAAATCTTTCGCCTTTTACTAAAGATTTTCGTGGAGAAGAACATACATGAGTTTTGCATGGATGTGTTTTACCAGTGGTTGGATAACAGAAGTAAAAATTAGAAGATAAAAGATTATTACTATGTATAAGCAAATAATGAAAGATTATTGTTATAAGTAAACAACAATATTATTATTATTATTATTATTATTATTATTATTATTATTATTATTATTATTATTATTATTATTATTATTAT